TCATATGTGCCCCGATGCTCGGTGAGTGCCCAACGTGTGTCTGATGCTCTGCTTGCTCTTCATATGTGCCCCGATGCTTGGTGAGTGCCCAATGTGTGTCTTGATGCTCTGCTTGTTCCTCATATGTGCCCCGATGCTCGGTGAGTGCCGAATGTGTAACTGATGCTCTGCTTGCTCCGCATATGTGCCCCGATGCTCGGTGAGTGCCCAATGTGTGTCCTAATGATCTGCTTGCTTCTCATACGTGCCCGATGCTCGGTGAGTGCCCAATGTGTGTCCTGATCATCTGCTTGCTCCTCATACGTGCCCGATGCTCGGTGAGTGCCCAATGTGTGTCGTGATGCTCTCGTTGTTCCTCATATGTGCCCCGATGCTCGGTGAGTGCCCAATGTGTGTCCTGATGCTCTGCTTGCTCCTCATATGTGCCCCGATGCTCGGTGAGTGCCCAATGTGTGTGCTGATGCTCTGCTTGCTCCTCATATGTGCCCCGATGCTCGGTGAGTGCCCAATGTGTGTCTGATGCTCTGCTTGCTCTTCATATGTGCCCCGATGCTTGGTGAGTGCCCAATGTGTGTCTTGATGCTCTGCTTGTTCCTCATATGTGCCCCGATGCTCGGTGAGTGCCCAATGTGTACCTGATGCTCTGCTTGCTCCGCATATGTGCCCCGATGCTCGGTGAGTGCCCAATGTGTGTCCTGATGATCTGCTTGCTTCTCATACGTGCCCGATGCTCGGTGAGTGCCCAATGAGTGTCCTGATCATCTGCTTGCTCCTCATACGTGCCCGATGCTCGGTGAGTGCCCAATGTGTGTCGTGATGCTCTGCTTGTTCCTCATATGTGCCCCGATGCTCGGTGAGTGCCCAATGTGTGTCTGATGCTCTGCTTGCTCCTCATATGTGCCCCGATGCTCGGTGAGTGCCCAATGTGTGTCCTGATGCTCTGCTTGCTCCTCATATGTGCCCCGATGCTCGGTGAGTGCCCAATGTGTGTCCTGATGCTCTGCTTGCTCCTCATATGTGCCCCGATGCTCGGTGAGTGCTCAATATGTGTCTTGATGCTCTGCTTGCTCCTCATATGTGCCCCGATGCTCGGTGAGTGCCCAATGTGTGTCCTGATGCTCTGCTTTTTCCTCATATGTTGCCCCGATTGCTCGGTGAGTGCCCAATGTGTGTCCTGATGCTCTGCTTGCCTCTCATATGTGCCCGATGCTCGGTGAGTGCCCAATGTGTACCTGATGCTCTGCTGCTACGCAACTGTGCCCGATGCTCGGTGAGTGCCAATGTGTGCCCTGATGATCTGCTTGCTTCTCATACGTGCCCGATGCTCGGTGAGTGCCCAATGAGTGTTCCTGATCATCTGCTTGCTCTACTACGTGCCCGATGCTCGGTGAGTGCCCAATGTGTGTCGTGATGCTCTGCTTTTTCCTCATATGTGCCCCGATGCTCGGTGAGTCGCCCAATGTGTGTTCCTGATGCTCTGCTGTCTCATATGTGCCCCGATGCTCGGTGAGTGCCAATGTGTGCCCTGATGATCTGCTTGCTTCTCATACGTGCCCGATGCTCGGTGAGTGCCCATTGAGTGTCCTGATCATCTGCTTGCTCCTCATACGTGCCCGATGCTCGGTGAGTGCCCAATGTGTGTCTTGATGCTCTGCTTGTTCCTCATATGTGCCCCGATGCTCGGTGAGTGCCCAATGTGTACCTGATGCTCTGCTTGCTCCGCATATGTGCCCCGATGCTCGGTGAGTGCCCAATGTGTGCCCTGATGATCTGCTTGCTTCTCATACGTGCCCGATGCTCGGTGAGTGCCCAATGAGTGTCCTGATCATCTGCTTGCTCCTACTACGTGCCCGATGCTCGGTGAGTGCCCAATGTGTGTCGTGATGCTCTGCTTTTTCCTCATATGTGCCCCGATGCTCGGTGAGTGCCCAATGTGTGTCCTGATGCTCTGCTTGCTCCTCATATGTGCCCCGATGCTCGGTGAGTGCCCAATGTGTGTCCTGATGCTCTGCTTGCTCCTCATATGTGCCCCGATGCTCGGTGAGTGCTCAATATGTGTCTTGATGCTCTGCTTGCTCCTCATTTGTGCCGCGATGCTCGGTGAGTGTCCAATGTGTGTCCTCATGCTGTGCTTGCTCCTCATATGTGCCCTGATGCTCGGTTAGTGCTCTTATGTTTCGAGGTGTTCGGAATGGGCACGATATGTGCCCGGATGCTCCGTTTGCGCCCCTTATGAGGGTGCAGAGAATGAGGAATTGCAGAACACACATCACTCAGTTGTGACCATTTTCCCAAAAATTAACAGCAAAAGGCATGTGTGGTGTTAAGTCAGTAAAAGCCTGGATGGAATAGTGTTATGCATGCTCCCGACAAGGAAAATAAGTTTGTAAACACAATGTGCTTACGTAACATACGCAGGTGAAACGTCGCTGATCAAGGCCTGCGAACTTATAGTCTTTGAAATGGATGGAAACTCAGCAATGTATTATCTCACAATAATAGCGAATTTAATAAGGAATCAATCTCCTAATATTGATGGCTGCGCTTTTGTGCCCAGCCACGTCGGTCACAATTCAATAGGGGTTAGAGCTAACACTCGTATACTCTGATATCAGTGGCAACCAGATATGTCCAGGAGCCAATGGGGAAAAAATGTATTGCACATGCCTGCTACAGCGCACCTCGTTGGCCGAATGACAAGAGGAAACGCCCCAAGCTGCATTGCTGTTAATTTCTGCTTTAGCGAGCTGTGGTGGTCGCAGAGCCCGGGCCAACGCCAAGAGGGGAAAGAGGGAAGCGAAAAAAGAAAGTCTGCATGAGGGACTCTCTTACACCCATTTCCGAAACTAAGACGTAACAAAACAATACACAAAAGGTACGCTCGCCGTGTTGTGTGCTGGTCACGTGGGAATGCGGGGCCATAAGAATTTATATCCGAACTTTAGTGGGTCAGTTTTTACACTCACCTCGGTGACGTCATATTTTTCGCACATAAAGTCGCAGGAGCACTGCGACGGAAGCTTTAGGTGCTCTATAATACGTGGAAATCAACCATGGGTGGCCTCAACTCCAACACTGTTGATGCGAAGCGCCATCATGATATGACGACACCATACGACGTCACACAACGTGACCATTAAAATCGCAAAAAGCTGAGCTAGTTGGTACGTAGTCATTATAAAATCACAGGACGTACGACTATGGACACAAGAAAGAGGTTAGGACATCGCAAACAATTGCGGCGCCCTAACTTTTGTTATCTTGTGGCCGTGTTTGGACGCGCTGCCTTTTCGTAGTGACCATATGATGTGACACTGATGTCCAAGACTAGGGATGTTTGTGACATTCTCATGACTAATATGCCGTCGCATGAGGATAACGTCTGTCGATCAGTTGATTGATTGATATGTGGGGTTTAACGATCCAAAACCACCATATGATTATGAGAGACGCCGTAGTGGAGAGCTCCGGAAATTTCGACCACCTGGGGTTCTTTAACGTGCACCCAAATCTGAGCACATGGACCTACAACATTTCCGCCTCCATCGGAAATGCAGCCGCCGCAGCCGAGATTCGCCCTCGCGACCTGCAGGTCAGCAGCCGAGTACCTCAGCCACTAGACCATCGCGGCGGGGCTCTGTCGATCAGTTGAACGCACGGCACCGTCGCTTGGCAAAAGCTTAACACGGGCGCAGTGTAAAGCAAGGAGAGGTACAGAAAATATCGGACGATCATATAAGCGAGTCCGTGAGTTCTATAGAGGTTAGAGGTGGCTTAGTTGCTGTGTATTATTGACTTCCCACTTATATAACTAGCGCAAACGTTACATAAGAATACGGCATGGAAAGCTAGAGGGACGCCGCCGTATTATAGCGCTACGTCCAGTCGGTTTCAATTATCTTGTATGTTATGGCATGCTAAGCCTTAATAGGTTCCTGAAGATAAAGTCTTAGGTGATTTTTTGCTTTCTTTTGCGCGAAAAGAAACCTACCCCAGAATAAATTTCCTCGAGTTCTAGAGAAAATTGTGCGCGTCCGAGTTCCAGCAGTAGCGGTACCTGACTGCTGCTGCTAAGGCTGCGGGTGCTAGACCGACAGTAGTGGTACACTAAGATGGCAGGGAAATGCTACAGGCCCGAGTAGTGTGTATACGTTAAAAACTATCAAGTGAAGCAAATATTCGAAGCTCGTAAATATGGTGTGCCTCATTAGTATTCGGAAATGAACATTTTGTTTAACAAAGAGAAAAAGAAACACACCTGTTTTCTTCTTAAGTACATGGTTGATTTACCGTGTGCAGTTCGAATTCTCAATAGAAATATTTCTAAAAATATAACACTGTTAGAGCAACATTATGGACCGGCAACTCTCTCTTGAATCTACTGCTGCTGTGTTTACGAACTGTCGCAACGTGGCAACCACACTTGTGTTAACAATGCTAAACAATCGCACTCAGTCATTGACACTGGTCATGCCATCGCCGACTACGCCGGCTCACACTTGACCCACACCGCTATCTGGATTTACCCAGGGTCGAAGCGGGAACAATGAGCTGTCAGCGAGGCTAGTCTCCGTCACTTAGAACTGTTCGCCCCGACTCGTATCAACTGTCAAAGCTCACGTACAGTGCGCAACTACACGGTATGAGCGCGTCACACTTTCTCCTCTACAGCGGCTTGCACATCTTTGGCTGCGAGATCGCGGCACGTGCGTTGCCGGCGCGTGGAGCAAGAAGCGGGGGGACTGGCCCAACCACAACAGCGCGGCGTGGCGTCACTCCCCGGTGGCGGTGACCGCCACCGCGAGCTTGGAACTTTATCTTCCCGTTGCGAGCGTCGGCGGAATGGCGGAAGGAGAGACAACCCTCCCCTCATCTGTCGTATATATGCAGAACTGCTCCATTCGAGAGTTCAGGTGCGGGCCCTGACTGATCTGGTGTGGGGGACTTCATGTGGTCCTGTACGGGGTAGTTATAAGACTTCCGAAATTCGCAACTGCCCTCATTGTATTTGGATTTTCCTATACTCCGTACGTTTTGCGATGGCGTTAGTTTCTCACAGGTCGAAATGGAATATTGTTTTCCTGCTGATTTTCGCATTACTCGCAATAGCAACCAATAACGCTCAGGTAAGCGTGTTATCCATCTCTATTCTCAAAAAAATTTTGAAAATTGGGAATTGCTTTTGATTTCGGGTGCCCAGTGTTTCACCATGCTATTTCCGGCGTGACATAGCTTCCAATATCACGACAAGCGTCATGCAAATACTAGCGCTTCTTATTGTGTTGCTAATGATCATAGTTTTTTTTTTCAAAAGAGACAGCTCGCTCATATTACGTATTATGTTCTGCGGATCCTTTAGCAAAAACATCACTCCACACTGTGAATGGCCCCCCTTGTTTGTTCAATATAATTTTGCTGTTTATTTAAGTTTGATCGCCTTGATGTTCATGACTGTCCTGTCTTTGTTGTACAATTTTTGTATTGTACATCACTGCATACGCAAATAAGTTCTTTTCGCTGTATATAACAGCTTGCATTGTGCATACGCATTGATCACCACTGTCCATTTTTCTGTGTGCACATGAGCTAAGTAAGATATATCCAGAAATAAAATTCTCTTAACCAAGTTTTCATTGGCCTGTGCGCCATCAAGCCCAGCATCATGATTATTTAGGTGATGGCCGTGTTCGTAATTAGGCGGTCTTCCCCACCTTCTCTAATCTGTGTTATACTCAAAAATAAGTATATTCAAGCAACACAATACCGAATAAATGTCAACGCGCTGGCCCTGTGGCGTCTCTCGAAATGACAATAATGAATAAAGAAGAACATGCAAGGTATCTTGTTTGATAGTTTTTCCGAGCTTATGGAAACGAAGTTCGACATCAATTACTATTGAGGAATATTCAAGCAGTGACACGAAAAACAAATGCAGTACTTGCCCGTACTCTCTGAAAAATACTGTGCTCTGGCCTTGTCTAAAATATAATCACTATTTAACTTCACCAACCTTACTATTTAATGTTCTGGCTCACCGAAGAAGGCTTCTAGAGGATGAGTTTTGTTGCATTCATTGTACATTCCCTGGTGGTAGCATTCTACCGATAAAGATACTTGAAGGTGGCCAGCTGTGGCATAATGTTTAGCAGTTGCTGCCTGACAGTCGAGTTAGCAGCTGTAGTGCTGAAATCTAAACGTTCATACAGCCGTTATGCGCGTACTTTGGGGTTGAATGTCTATTTTTATGGACACGTAATGGCTTACTGTTACTAATTTAACACGTTCTTTGACTTTACGGTGCAATTTATTTTGATGTTCTCACAAGTTTTAGTGACGTTTCCAAAGGTGCACTTACGTTTATATTACAAACCAATGGTGTTTTATGCCGCCATTTTAATTCAGATTCTTATTAGTTAATCACATAAATTTAGAGTTGCCTTATTAACATAAAATTAAAAAGAAAGAAACGGGTAAATCGTTTTTTTATAAGAACAAGTGGACATGATAACAAAAATAAGTTTTTACAGTCATACATGAATCGCTCTAGTAATATGTAAGCGGGGAAACCTTATTCACTTGTATAGCACAAAATATAACCCTGAAAAAAACGTCCAGCAGAACAAACATATTTTGTGCATCAGACGCACCCAGTTAAAACGATGAAAGCGCACACTAAAGCAAGCCAATCGTTCGATGGTGTAAACTTTAGAGGAGACTACACGTATTTTATAGCATTGTGGCAATTGCAGATCAGGCACTTGACTATATATGGGGCACTAAAAAGGAGTATGACAACATTTTTGCACATTTTTCTTACCAGGGTCAGAGCTGCCCGATGCCATCAAACCTTGACGCATCCGATGTGGCGTACAACACCATCACATTTCGCTGGGATGTCACCAAGTGAGTTACCATTATTAGAAACATCTTTTTATTAAAACCTCAGTAATGCAGCTTTCACATGCATGAATAAACACGCTGCCAGATTTTTTTTCAATAATCAGGCTAACACGCGGTCAAGGGTAAATAAACATTAATTTTTATGTGCATTAGGTTTGGAGAAAATGTGCACGCGCACGCACGCACACACACACACACACACACACACACACACACACACACACACACACACACACACACACACACACACACACACACACACACACACACACACACACAGCTTTTACGTGGTAGTTAGCACACTATAGTTTTTCTGTCTTGACGACTGACAGCGCCTAGTTTAAATACACAGTTTTTGGTTCAAGTGCATTCATATTTGTAGCGCTACATTTTTTTTTCGAAGGATCCACTTCAGGGCGTACAGCCACATGGAGGTTTTCTCCAATAAGTATTTGCCGCAATAATCCTTTTTTCGTTTCTTACAAAAAAAAGAAACACTGTTGTCTAACGTTCTTACTTGCAGTTGGCTGACGAATGTTACCACAGTAAAAAAACGGCATTGCAGTTTTGGGCCCTATATAACGCAAAATCATAACGCATTCCTGGATAAGCAATAGATATGTATATATCAGCTGTGAATACAGGCAGTTAAACGACCTTCATGGGAGCCACCATAAAAACTCTATCTCTACGAGATATCTCGTGCATCAAACATTAGGTATGCAACGAATACACCTAGACACTATAACTATACTCCTGCAGAAATTTACCGATACTTATTAGCAGACCTCTATACCGTTTGATAAGCAAAAATCTGAATACAGAGCACAATGACGGGTTCAGTGGTAGGACTCTTTTTTATCTGTCTGAGCCGACCATGCCGTAATAGAAACGCTTATGCCTGAAAATACCTTTCGTGCCTTTCCGTCAGGAAATAAACAATGTACCATTTCAGGATGATATCTAATGTAACTATTGTCCTTGCTTGCACATTAAGGAGCGCCTGATCTTCACAGATTGTGACAGCTGTGCCATGAACAAAATTATTTATCTACCAGGAAATCCTTATGAATGTCAGCTCGTGCATATCACATAAGTACTAAAATTACTTAGTTCCTGCAAAGAGCTTGGCATCTGTGAAAAACACTTTTTTTTTGCTGTCGCTTGTCAGAGTGCTTTGCAAACATTCCACTTGTTTTCCCTTCAGGTATCATAGTTTAAGCCAATCTACAAATAGCTAGTTGACAGGCTACTGTCTGGTTCTTTTCTCCATGTTGTTGGATATTTCAGTGCCCATATTGCTTCATAATACTAATGTTAACACCAACAACGAACAACAAATGCAATAATACTATTAAGAATAATAAAAACTTGGCAGATACCACGTGCCTTGGGAATCGATAAAACGCGGATGCAAGGTGAATGCCTTTTAACTTTTTTACTGAGCAAGAAGTTACGAAGTGGCACTCAATATATGTACAAAGTTACGAACACACATGCATAAACAGCCGCGTATGTTTTTACAGTAGCAGTTGTTTACAGTTCCCTAACGATGCCAACACCAACATAGATATCAGCATCACTAAAACCGGTAAGCTCGTATGAAACACTGGTGTTTGCGATGGTGCTCACGAAGATAGTCGCCCTCAACACCACTACACAAATGAACCTCAGCGGATGGCGCCTAACTACAAATGGCGTTAACACGACATGACGGCTGTATCATAGGAGTACCTACGTAATGTTTATAAAATTGTATAGCCCGTACTGCTACTAGAATTGACGTTCCGCGAACACTAGGGTCTATTTGCAATATATTTCCCGAGACCTAGCCTGGCTCTGTGATAGAGTACTTGATTGCCACGCAGAAAGCTGGGACTCGACTCTTTCTAGGGCACTGACCCTTCTTCTTTCCAAGCGTCTGGTCAATGCTGCCTATGCCAGCTTTTCCGTAACGTTTAACCGTTTATAAAATTACACATGTGGGTTCTCGCCATTCCTGGGTGAGTATAAATGTCTATCACTTGTGGCGCATACCCGCATACCAGCGTGTGTTCCAGGGTATGTGCCATTATTTTTGGGAAGTGTTTGATGACACACGCGTCAAGATATTGACAATATTCATGTCATGACCAGCTCTTGATATTCGTGAAACCATCTTACCCTCCCGTACTATACTATTGGTGTAATCGAAGTTAGGGTGTGATCATGAGAGCACCTATACGTGGGCGGCAGATAATGAGATAGACATATAGATATAGACGCAGATAGAGGCCAAAAGTGCTTGCAGTACACAAAGAAATGCTTGGCATTGGTTAATAATACTATGCAGGTACATACCAAGCCCTGTGCATTGCACATGCATGTCGCCGGGAAACTACGGCGAATCATGTTCAGCGAGCAACACTCCAAAAGTCTGCACGACGGGAGTCACCGGTTACACCCGAACACAGTCAAGCCTGGGCGTGTACACCAACTACACCATGTGCGTGCAAACGCAGTGTTCTGCCAGCAACTTCTCCACTGCTGTCTGCAGGAACTTCAGGACGTCACCGTTGGGTGAGCCGAGATGGTATTATTTAAAAACAAAAGCAAGGCCTCTCAGTGCACGACAGGTCTCTGCAGATGTACGGAAACGGTATGTCACGTACAAGGCTTTAAGGCCCCGAGAGTAATGACGTGGATTAAGCTATTGGTACAAAATAGAGCCCGGCCGTGGTACTTTCATGCGATAAGAAAACAGTGCACTATCTTTGACCATTTAAAATTATTTTGAGTCGCCAAAAAGCATGTTGAGTAAACGAAGCTTATTCTACGTTCCCCGAATTTTTGGCAAGTTTATAATTATGCATGACGGTACTCAGCACAATACGGAAATTGTTTTTAAAGAACAAACCAATTCACCTAAAGGGCAAAGAATATGAGGCTCTATGCGTTTTTTTGTTAGTATCAGTGTTTTCACTTTTCTTAGTAAAAAGGCAACTTGTTGTCGTCTCTTTTCCCACTTGCTAGGCGTCTGGGACGCACTGTCTGAAACGTTGTGCATATTTCCAGTGCAATTCGTCTCACGAAGAGGTGCTTACAAAACTGGTTGACATCGCGGCATAGTAACGCAAGGGGTATCAGTTAAATGATGCAGCCATAGCAGGGTGTGGGAGGGGGACGGGGGAAAGAAAGCAGAGGTTCTTTCGCCTTTTCCTATTCCTAAATGCTGCGCATATGGCACCGCCTACCTACCGCCCCTCTTGTTCGATAACTGAAACGACTGCAAATACTGATTGAGTTTTTCTAGCCTCATGGCGTGCAGCTTCATTTGACATTGTTTAAGCAAACCTAATTATTTATTTACATAATATGTTGTCTGCACCCACCAATGAACAGTAACTTCAAGTTGTTTCCAAACTCCTCCGCAGGGACATCCCGTTTAGGCTTTGTATCAATGAATCTCATGCCATACTACATTCATTTTTGCTTGGAAAAGTGCAGCAGCTGCTGTCTGTCATTTCAGTGCTGGACTTTTTTTCATGCTTTTTATTTCAAGTATGTCCCACCAATTCGCCTAAGCATCCTCTTTAGCTATCTATTTCAGCAGCAGACCACTCTACAATGACCAAACTATTTTGAATGTCACCTACCCATTGGCAATGCTTGATCTTGTGCATGCAAGAAGGTTATTTAATTGAGTAAAAGTATTAATTATCCCCTTCTACAGCCCCAAGCCAGCCGTACCAAATTTTCGCAACGAAGCACAGCCCCTCATCCCTGGACGTGAGCTGGCGATTCCCGACAGCCTTAAACGGTCCACTGGACGGCTACCGCATACGTTGGTGCCAGGCGAGCAACTGCGTGCCCAGCCAGGAGATACTACCCGATCGCCGAACGCGCGATTTCCGAGTGACAGGACTGCAGCCGTACCGCCAGTACCACGTCTACGTCTCCGGATTCAACGTGGATTCCCACAGCGGACAGACCCTCTACGGAGCTGAAGCGTCGCTCAGCGAGTACACCCTGCCAACTTGTGAGTGTGCAAATACAAATGCTGGATGCTTGCGTCATCCTATGTCGAACTCTATTGCGTAATGTCACGGGTAGTGCATAAGCTTGCATTCTTTGTCAAAAAAAACAAGCATAAAAGGCATAACAGCCACATTAATAACAGCTATATGCGTGGCTACTTGAGATGACAAAGAGGTAATATATATCAGCGCTTTTTAAAATTTGTCGAATGTCTTACATAGCATTTGAGACTATTCATAAGACGCGTTGTCTTACAGATGCGACAACTCGATATTACAGTGTGTACTTATTACGCACAGAGGTGTCTGGTGCTTATTGCGAAGCTTTAGCGTGTATTCAACATTCAACCATATATATATATATATATATATATATATATATATATATATATATATATATATATAAATATATATATATATATATATATATATATATATAGGCACTTATTCCTTAACCCTGACAAACGCCGGTCCTCCTGTCGAATCCGTTGGAAAGAAAACTCAGACAACCACTAAGTTGTGTCTTTCTCTTCTCTCTCTCTCTCTCTCTCTCTATATATATATATATATATATATATATATATATATATATATATATATATATATATAGAGAGAGAGAGAGAGAGAGATATATATATATATATATATATATATAGAGAGAGAGAGAGAGAGAGAGAGAGATGATTTCTTTATCTTGTTCACGTGCTTTTGTTCGTTGGACACACATACTTTACGCGGTATAGTGGGGCTTACCCATGTGGCACGTATCTGTCTATGGAGCACAAGTTACCGACGGCTTAAACCACTTCGATGATAAAACAACGATGTAGACGGAACAAATGAATTCGTGAGCTATGAACAACGGTTATTTTTCTGTAGAATTTGGCGCAGATTGTTTACTGTGGCCATATATATAATATATATATATATATATATATATATATATATATATATATATATATATATATATATATTCAGAGTTGGCATCTGCAGTCATTGATTGATTTGATTGATTGATTGATTTGTGGGGTTTAACGTTCCAAAACCACCATATGATTATGAGAGACGCCGTAGTGGAGGGCTCCGGAAATTTCGACCACCTGGGGTTCTTTAACGTGCACCCAAATCTGAGTACACGGGCCTACAACATTTCCGCCTCCATCGGAAATGCAGCCGCCACAGCCGGGATTTGATCCCGCGACCTGCGGGTCAGCAGCCGAGTACCTTAGCCACTTGACCACCGTGGCGGGGCTGCGACTGCAATCATTATGAAACAATAGAAAACACATGTCAATATAGACTGTCACCTGTTCGAACTCAAAACGGAATAGTATGAGCTGGTATTTTATTTTTATTTTATAGATAGATTGCCGTTTCAACGTTAGAATGTCTGAAAATTAGATGGATAGGCATCTGTGGCGAATAAACACGCATTTTTTTCTGTAGACAGCATGCTTTTTCTCTAACGACCACCTATTGAATATGTGTAACTTTTCGCTTGCGAAAGTGGTCTGCGAAAGTATCGCGTTGCTAATTGCAATTTTTCGCTTCAATTTGATTGGTGCATTATGCATATATATATTGACTCGCTATAGGCAGCCGGTGTGTTGTGTTTGAAAGTATGAGGTGGGCAAAATCATCTTAGTGCCTAAAATTGTGTGCTCACCAAAGACATGCTTTGTATATGCAGCTACACAATATTTTTTTCAGCAGTTAAAAAGTATTCACAAATAATAGAGAATACTCATGCAAGAGAATGTTTTTCGCGCTGTGACGGTATCGCGGAAATTGAGTACAAACAATAAATACGTGCCTCGTGCGATGGCCTATATACGATACTCTCTCTGGGTAATGCCACCTTGACGATATCAGTTGTGTTTCTTATCTTGTGTTGCGACCGAGCACAGTGCGAAGAGCATACGTGCCGCTATCTCTTTATCGGCAGGCAAGCGTCAAAACCCACATGCACACTAACATAGCCACTGGCCTATAATTAGCCACAGGCAAAACAACGTTATCACTCATTGTGAAAACGTTGTTTTGTTTGGCTATTTTTCTGGAAGCCGGTCACATCAATGTTGCAGTCAACTCGAAAATCGGTTCCAGTAAAAGTCCCTAAAGGCAAGCACTTTCAGAAAAAGCTCGCGGATGTTATTGAGAAAAGTCTTGTGAAGAACGATCGAAAACTGCCTAAGCACTCGTTTCAAAAACAGCAAGTGGCTTCTTTAACAAAGATATCGTAACAAAGTTTCATTACAAAACGCGATTACCTGCTATAAAAACACCTATTCATAGAGACAGGCTCCGTTGGCCATTTGAATGATTTAATATGTATCCTTGACATTACTATGCAAAAATATATTGAATATATCAAAACTGGATGGAGTCTACATGAATTCTGTACGACAACATGCCCAGTTATAGACATTGTGCAGGAATGTTTCAGTATGAAAAGGTTCTTTGAACAACTTGTTAGTGTTTTAAAGCCATTTCCTAGCCTACCTGCGCCCGAGAATATACCTCAGCTAATGCCCCCATTCTATGTTCGCTACGTTACAGACCCCTCCGAGCCATCGCTGTCCTTCACAAAGGTGTCCACTTCGCAAGTGAACGTGGTCGTGGGCGTACCCAAGTACACCAACGGGCCCATTAACGGATACGTGCTGACGTGGTGTCCCAAGCTGCGCTGCTACGGCGATTACGTGAACACGCGTGAAATCGCGCAGTCCAACGCGGGAACGCAGTCTGTCACGGGACTGCAGCCGTGGACGGAGTACGAGTTCACGGTGAGGGCGTTCAACACCATCCCTACGGACAGTCGGCGGGCATACAGCGAAGAAGTGAAGGGGACCGTCGTGCCCATGCCATTCTGTAAGTTCTAGGCGAATGCGTTTTGTGCCTATTTTGCGAATGGTGCAAGAAAGCATACCATAAAGTATTTGACGTACTTTTACAGAGCTGACTGTTGGGCAAGTTGGTACTTTGACATAAAATCTATCGTGACAGATGAGAACAGGCGCACACTATAAACTGGCTTTATTGAAGGAAGCTCCACTGCGCAGGGACAGTGCCACAACCGCCTAAAAATTCAAACCAGGTGCGAAAGAAACTTAAATTGATTTTAAATTTTCAGCTGTTGTAACGGCGTCCCTGCGCAGCGTGTTGAGTGATAAAAGGGTGGATCTTCCTAATAAATCTAGTTGATAGCGTGGGCCTGTCTTCCTCTGTTTCGTCTTGTGTTTTGTGCTTTGTCGCATTCTCACGATGGTGTCTATGGCTTTTGACGTACGCTACGAATAATTTTCCTAAAAGTGCTCTACGATCCTGCAATCTAAGCCGAAAAAGAAAGGATTGAGATTATTTGTGAGCTCCGGACGGACGAACGGACGGAAAAAAACTTTATAAAGAAACCCTGCAGGGTTACCGGCCCGGGCTCAGGCCACCCCGACGTTTTGTGCGGTGAGGCGTAGCCTTTCCACCGCTGTCCGGGCCCGCTGGATTGCCCACAGTTGGTCGTGCAGATCTGAGCTAGTCAGCGCACTTAGCCAACGCTCCTGGAGAATCTCCGGTTTTATATTGTCCTCTCGGTATATTACTGTGACCTGTGTACATTGCCATAGAATATGTGCCATATCTGTGTGTTCGTGCTTACTGAGCGCCGGCTTGCCACGTAAGTGACTCCATTTAAGGAAACACGTCTCTATTGGGAGATTATCATTTTCTCGTCAGAGAATGGTGCGACCCGAAATGATAGTTGACGCACGTTTTAAAAGAGGCACATGCGTGGCAAGTCAAGGTACACCTGCAGAAACAAGTAAAGATTACTCAGTTTAGCACGTGACGACAACATTGTTTGAGAAGGAGATTGCTAAGTTTGTCTGAATGCTACGTGCATAGTTTCAATTTCAGTGCTTCTCTGTTCTTCTTATGCTCTACTGACCCTAAATGTTTTCTTAACATTTATCGGCGTTGTTAACTAGAAAAGGAACCCCGTTAGAATATTTCAAGCTGCTGGCAATTAGTTTAGTTCCTCTGATTCACAGGAACACATGAATGAATGAATAAACTTTATTGAAATAGAACTCAGGCAATTTCTTTCGAGCGAGGCGGGGGACGACGAAATCAACCCCTGGCTCGTCACACCGTCCGTCAGCGTATGAGAAATTCTCTTCTGGGGGTTGGTGCCCATAATGTATGGTTTCGCTTGTATATATACATTTCAATATTCACTAATTTCAGATGGGGTTCAGCTTTACCCTCCCCTGGCTATGCATGTCCCATGCATGTAGAACTTGCTGTCTTGCTGTGAAACATTTATAACAGAAAAACAACACCTATCTACGGTATCCTCTGCGAAATTGCATGACGTACAACGCAGTGGGATTGATACTAATAGTGTTTCGAAATGGCTGATTATATACCTATCCTGCGCGCAGCTCCGAGTGGTCCACAGAGCTTCAAGGCGACAGCGCTGAGCGCCACTGCAGTGAAGCTGACAGTGGGACCTGCCACCGCGATATGATCTGACACCAACTCATTTCCGACTGTTCTGGTGCACCGGAGGAGACAAGACTTGCTTCAACGTGGACGTTGGGAACGTCAGAGAAGGCATCATCTCTCCGCTGGCACCATACACAGAGTACCGCTTTATGATCAAGGCTCTGGTGCAGTTCACTTCACCCTTGGCTAAACAGCGCCGTCTCAGGTGCCAGTGTGAGGACATGGCCAGGTGGTAAGTAAAAAAGAAAGTTGAATCCAGCCTTCGTAATGTCTTCATTAAACTGCGAAGACTGATATTCATCATATATTTGTCCATTTAAACTTTGAATATGACTAAGATTCTGATCATTAATTATAACGGTCACGTTCATATTGCGTCGTTGTTCATTGTGTACTTATAGGGTGCGGTGAGTTGTGAGGGCCCCGTCGGTAAGCAGGGTGGAGAGGTGATTTCCAACTCGTCTGTAAATTCCTGTCCCAACGTATTCCCAATTTTCAGCAGAAATTTAAAAATGCCCATTTTAGAAAGGAACCACAATTATAAAAATGAAGTCGATGTATTAGGTGCATTGCTAGGTACAATCAAAAGAGATGTTAACGCCCTGTATAGCAAGCGTTATATTCAGAAACAAATCACTAATCGCTGGTGTCAGGGGACATAGAAAGTAGAACATTAGCAGAATAAAGCGACAGCAATATACCAATTTCAAAAGAGATTAACATAATGTTCCACGAATGTGAAAGTTGACCTAAGTGAATAATTGTGTTTTAGAATGAGAACGACACGACTTAAAGCCCGCCAGTAATTGCTTTCAGGGTTTTCGTGAGTCTTCAGTTAGTACGAACTTCGAGGGGGAGGGGTAAATAAGAATATTCAATGGCTGGACTCTGTGAGGCCTTCTTTTACAGCCCATTGGTTCCTACTGTCACATTGTCATACGGAGGTTGCCACTAAGCTAATGAAATGTCTTTGCGATGTACTGATTGTAAGAGTACTCATCAAGACTCACCCTTATTACACAAGCTTTCAAGTAGCTTCTCATACTTGAGAAGTTAGACTATGTGGGACCACGGATGACTAATGCATGTCTTGCTTCTGCACATATAATACCTAACTTCTATATGTCCCCTTCCATGATTGGGTGCTATAATCCCTGACTGCAATATTTAGCGTATTCATAAGTGAATACGTGTCTTGGCATATTAAAATACATTCTGGGATGAATTGCAAAGTGCATGCCTCCCTCGTCCCTTTGCAGATCCCAGTAGACCCATCGACCTGCAGGTAGTGCGAACGAGGGCAACCGCAGTGGACGTCTCCTGGAAAGCACCGGCGGACCCTGCTGGCCCCATGGCCGGGTATCGCGTGCGCATTTGTCCCGAGCTCGGAACCTGCCCCGCGATCGGACTCGTCAGCCGCCACAAAACGCTTAGCAAGAATGTACACAACCATTCGTTCTACGGGCTGGAGCCGTATGCCAAATACCAGGTTCAAGTCAGTGCATTCAACAGTCTCCCGGACGAAAAAACGGCCGAAGGGGACGTCGCAGTCGTTTCGGTGTCCACAACCCCGAGCGGTGAGCCTCACTCATTACGCTTCGAAGGGAGATGTTTGTTTGCACCAGCCTATATGATTGTGATATACTTCAACTGATATGTATAATGGCTTTCGCACGACAAAAGTGGGCTGCCGTGATGATAATCGTTGATTGACTACATCGCGAACCGGACAAAAGGCGCACGTATATCTATAATAAATAGCGCAAAAACAAAAAACAAACAAACAAACACGTGGACACAGCAAAAAGACAACACGGGTGCTTACTTAAAAAAAGAGCACTCGTGCTGTCTTGCTGCGCGCACGTTTTTTTTGTGCTATTCTGTTAGGCATTGCCAATTAGCTCTGTTTTCTGCAACACTGCGGCATATGTATGAGCAGTGCTGAAATTAAAATGCATTGAATTAGTTAATAAACTATGTTCTTACAATGATCGAAACATACAAGACGCGTAAAATACAAGGAAAGCATGTCTCTATAGGGTATATATACATTTACTCGGTGAAATTGATTTTCCACGGTAATGTGACGTTCAGGTGGTGTCTGAGAGCTACCTCTTCAGATATTTTCCAAGTAGTTGGGTTTAGAGCCTGACATCGAGGCGGATACCACCTATCGACGTGTCCTGTAAGGGCGCGGTCAAATCTCTAAGGCGGGGGAGGAAAATGGGTAAGGAGGACCATGCTGACAGTCCTGCATAATGTCTGCAATGGCGCCGCATGTCATGCGGCTTTTGTCAAACACGTCAGGGTATCATTATCATCATCATCACCATCAATATCATCATCAGCCTGACTACGTCCACTGCAGGACAAAGGTCTCTTCCATGTTCAGCCAGCTAACTCGGTGCTGCACTTGCTGCTGCCAATTTATACCCGCAAACTTAATCTCATTTGCCCACCTAACCTTCTGTCTCCCCCTCACCCACTTGCTTTCTCTGAGAATCCAGTTAGTTGCCCTAATGATCAGCGGTGTTCCAGTCTACGCGCTACATGGCTGGCCCTTGTTCATTTCTTCTGCTTGATTTCAACTATGATATCCTTAACCCCCGTTTCTTCCCTAATCCACTCTGCTCTCTTCTTGTCTCTTACGATTACAAGGTATAAGTGACTTTATAGTAACAGATTTGGGAAAGAGTGCGTTTGTAGGCATCTCCTCGAGGTCCGCTGAAGTTTTTTGAGCTACGCCTTTGGGAGAGGGAGCGAGGGGGGGGTCTTTTTGTATTCCCACACTGCCTCACTTGAACACGGCCGTGTTGAATAATCACATAAGACGACATGACGATAACTGAAGGTAACAAATTTGAATAACCTCAATAAGCGAGACATTACCGGTTCATAAAACTGTCGCAATATACAACTATATGCTAAACTGACTATAAGACAAATTGGTGTACGTACAATATGGTATAAGAAGTATTTGAAACAATAACAAACTTTATAGTCGCGTGTTTTTGGTTAATCTGGAGCAATATAAAATTGCTTATATTGCGTTATTTCTTCTTCAACCTCACAGAGCCAAGCGAACCGACAAACTTGACTGTAGAGACACTCAGCAGCTCTGTTCTCCTGGTTACTTGGCAACCTCCGAGTCACAAGAATGGACCAGTGAAGGGCTACAACGTGAGCTGGTGGAGGACGGATCACAACTGCTACGCACGGCCTAGACGACGACACCGCTGTCTCGAGCGTCTTCCTCGAAGGCGATGCGACTTCCGCACAAATATCAGACCTCCTTCCTTACACCTCCTACGCCATTAGAGTGGCGAGGGTGAACGTCGACGGCAACACGACATTAGAAGGCGCCGCGGCCCACGGGGAAGGCATTACAGATCCCGAGCCAAGCCCGCCACCACTTGACCTGACAGTGGTGGCAGTGAAAATCAACGACACGGTTTCCAGTCTTACCTGCAGCTGGTCTACCCCGAACGCCACCGTGAACCCACCCGTTGAAGGTTATCATCTTAGAGTGTGCGTCGCGCAGAACGCGACAGACTGCTGGGACGGCCACACTACAGCGGAGCAGCTGTCGTACGTAGTCGAAGCCGTTCCGAACTTCGAGGACTACGTCGTCACCGTGAACGCTTACGTGCTGAACCATGGTCGCATAGTTGTGGGTGAACTTGCCACCGCTACTGCGAGCACGGCAGCGCCGGAGGTACCTGAGATCGCGAGCGTTAACGCAACGGCAGTCAACGCAACGACCATCTACGTTGAGTGGAAACCTGTGGACTCGGTTAATGAGCTCGAAATTGTGTACAATGCTACCGCCTTGAGTGAGTATGGTGCGAAAGTTAGCCAAGTGTTCGTTAGGGAATCGAGTGCGGCGTTCACAGAGCTTCAAGCGTGGACGAGCTATACTATTCAGGTCTCCGCGTGCGTCAAGCGAGGATCCAAACAACACTGCGGAACTGCTACTTCTGTGGTCGTTCGGACGTCGCCGACAGGTCAGTCGACAACTGATGTGCCAACTCCTGCGTTGGCTTCATAGTAATTTTCGGTTTACAAAAAGTACAAAAAAATGTACACCAGTGTGATCTAAGTATTTCTCGCATTTCCATTTTGTTTATTGAATTTCGTTCACGCCAGAAAAACTGCTGGTAATAATGCTTCAGCCCTGTTGAATCACACACACCCGATAATGTTTTTAACTCTCGACAGTTTGCGAGATTTCTCATCAGCTATCGTAGTTAGTTACACGTGGAACAGCAATACCAAATCCTCGATCGTTACCTAAAATTACTAAACGTATAGAATGGAGTTCTCGGCATGAATTCAGGCACACAGTATTACATGAACGCTTGTAAATTTAAATGATGTATTGGCTTGAATCCACCCCTATGTGCCGCGCATATATACCGCACCAACACGTAGCCCTAATTCACACAAGCCGTGTTAGATTATTGTTTTGGGATTACTGTGTGTACAGAAATAACCGACTACGAAAAGAGCTAATTTCATTCCTACGGCAAATATATCAAAATAGAAGCTGAATATTGTAATACACCTGCGATGAAACGATACGTCCTCCTTCTCTCCGTAACTATGTAGCTAGATTGACTATTCAGGTAAACAGATTGCATTTGCTTAATAATGTCATATTCCGTCGTTGTATTTTTAATGCTTGATGTTATGCGTAAAAGTATGTGTTGAAGTGTGTCTGCGTATTTCTGAACGAACTGTCATTAGTTCCAAAAGTGTCGCATGTAAAGTTTTGTGGTGACTGTCTTCAAATGAACGTGCACGCGTTTCTCTAATGAAACATCTAAGCGTTACTTTAAGTCATAAGAAAAACACAAATAAAAGATAGCATTGTATAAGCAGGCCACAAAACTAAGCACATGTTGAAAGATAAAAACTTTACGCCCGTCTTGTCACTGCGTGTATTCAGAGACATGCCCCTGTAATTTTTCACAGAACCAATAAACACAGTCTTTCTGTATCTTTAGGTGTATTGTGTTTTTTTTACTGTGACCCAGTCTCAATGGTCGCGTAGTAACATGCTCAGTGATTTTGAAGCACAAGCATGCGCTATGAAATTTTCTTTCTAACGCGTTAATTTTTCAGCAACTATCGCTTCTGTGGGTACTTCCGCTACATCGCACCCGCTAAGCTAAAAGTCCAAATTGCCTAAGCAACACAAACTTTGCTTGCATAAATTGACGTTTTAGTGCCTTCCTGCTTAACGATTTTAAGTTTTCCTGCAAATCCAGTAAACACAGTGCCGCTTGTACCCCAGCTGCTTACATAACACAAATTCAATCATTGCACAAAAAGGCTGTAGGAGCCTTGGCTACAGAAACCACAATATTACACTGTACAGTGACAAAGCAATGAGGACTAATTTACGTTTGAACACACTTATGCTTGAAGTAATCTACCAAATTACTTTGAAAATAATATGCATTTTTCCACCATTCTTGTAAGGCTCGACACAATGGCCACCGTTGATTTCAAAGGTGAGCAAATATTTTCCAATGTCATTTCCCGATAGTTGCATATTTGAGGATGATCAATGCGTTCGTTCAAGATTTATGCGAAAGTATAACCTAATCTATATGTTGTGTTTAATACCAGTTTTGTATTCGTCTTTCCTAAATGTAAGATGTTTCATTAGAGAAGTAAAATTAAAAAAAAGCGATAGAAAACGAAATAATGAATCATATATTTCAATATAGCAATATTTTATTTTTTCAACCTATAATTTAAGCCCCTGGATTAAGTTCAGATATAAGCTTACGAGAATGTCTGTGTATGTGAATATGTTGCTCCGTACCTAAGTCGTTTGCTCGAGTTTTTTGTAACGCCTATGTGATAGCTCCGACATCTACAACTGATCTTAGATTAATTTTATTATCTACTACTGCATCGGCTCATCAATGCCGATGTACTACATTATGCATGCACATCCTATTGTGATCACTCATGTTTGATGCTCTAATTGCAGAATCGAGCATGCCCACCAGCATTCGCACAAGCACGAATGGTACTGCCATACAGATAACGTGGGAAGAGCCGTTGCACCCCAACGGACCACTAATGGGGTACAGGCTTACATGGTGGTTAAACAACGCCACCGTTAACGACAGCAATGGTTCAGCAGACTTGCCTAAAAAGACCATCCTTCTAAAAGGCCCCGTTACTTCGCACGTCATCGACGAGTTGCAGTCGGCAGCCACTTATGTCATCGAGATACGCCGAGTAAACAGGGACAACTCCACTCTTCTGGAAGGTGCTTCCGCCCGTGTAGAAGCCTCAACCACCCCAAACACGTATCCACCACCCCAAGATGCCAAGTTCACTATTCGTAGATTAAACACTTCTCATTTCGCAATTAATCTAACGTGGCAACCACCCCATGCATTGCTAAAAGCTGATATTGAGCGATATGAAGTGTTCATTCAACGCATTGAAGAGGGCAAGTCTTCGGTTGTCTTCACAGCGAATGCGGTCACACCAGACTATACCATGATAGTTACCAATATGAACCCATTCGTGGAGTACATTGTACAGATAAGAGCATATGCGAGGTTTGGAAACACCGTAGTAAAGGGAGAATCTGCTGAAGTGCGCGTCAACGTTAATGCCAACTATCTTCTTGTCGTGTCCGACGTGGAAGTGTACACTTCGAGTGATGCTGTCGCAACAGTGATCTGGAAGTCAAGTGTGGACACGAGTGTCTCATCGAGAAACATGACGACATACGAATGTTCAGCTAATATCGACGGAAACTGGACAGCAAATAGAAGGCATCGTCGTCAGTTCACTTGAAGCAACGTTCACGGGCCTGAAGCTGCACACGAACTATACAGCATGGGTGAAGGCATGTGACGTCAGAGGTCACGTTCGAAAATGTGGTGACTTGGTCGAGGCGAGGTTCGAGACTCCGAAACAAGGTTAGTAATTCCTATGCAACCGACATGGTAGTAGAAAACCTTTTCATGTTCTTCAGAAAGAATTACGCGTTTCTCAGAAACGAAGAAGTGCGTGTATTACACAATTCATCTTTACCGGGCCTTTAGAGAAAGATCGCCGATATCGAAACTGGTAACCTGTAGCCAGCGAAATTGTTCGCCGTGCTCTGGCTAAAGCATCTAGAAGGTCCAGATTCGCACTTTTTTCCGGTATTGTTCGCAAGTTAAAGACGCCATATACCAATCGGGGAGCACGAGCCGTAGCACTGTGGCAATAAAAAAGTAACATGAAACACCCTCTCTCCACGCACGCGCAAGTAACCTTCCGAGAAAGACCCATTCAGTCCTTTTTCCCGAGAACAACAACAACAAAAAAGATGCAAATGAACGCTTACTGATGTGTGATCCTTCATGGCTCCCTCTGTTGCAGATAAATATTTCCTATTCTTATTGGTTTTGAAGTTAACATAATCATTAAAAATAAATAAGTATCTTGGCACTCTGCTGATCGTGTAGGGTAACGTTTCTGATGCGCGCAGATATGTGTGTACATAGTAGCAGCTTTGTTGCGCTGAAGTTTCAAAGGCGTCATTCAGGAATGTTGAACTGTCCAAAAACTTCGTTCTTACAGACGTCACGCCTCGTCCAACAGACTTCAGTGTCGTTGCTGTGAATTCTACCACTCTGAAGGTGACATGGGAGCTGCCAAAGCTTTCGCCAGAGGTGGACGTTACCGAATACCGCATCCTATGGTGGCCTTCCGCAACAAATGAAACACCCGAGTCCACTGTGGATGGACACACTGGAATTCACTTAGCAAGCGCCAACGAAAGCAAATTCGTCATCACCGGACTCGAAGCCTACAAGAGCTACGACGTCGAAATATACATTTTCTACTTGGAAAATTCTGTGGTGAAAAACGTATCTGTAATTTCTAGAAGTAAGACCGCTCCACAGCCTTTCGCACCACCTGTCAAAGTAACCTTCTCTATTTCCGGGGATGTTGACGAATTGACACATGTCAGTATCTCTTGGCAACCACCGTTCACCTGATCGGACCGCCACTAGAAGGTTACTACGTCGACGTATGTCCTATTGTGACATCCAGCAAGTCGCCCAACGGTGCTGCGTGCAAGAGGTACAACACCACCTCCACCACTTTAATCACGGCGCTAGAAGGCTTGAACAGGTTTGAAGCGTACACTGTGTTTGTAAGCGCATACACCAGGCATCAAGGCGTCGTGATCATCGGGAGCCCGGAGGAAACCTTCATTACCACAGATCCTACACCTCAGTTGAAAGTTGACGGAATCAGATTAGAAGTCGTCGGTAACGACAGCCTGAAGATATCGTGGATGGGAGCTGACCTATCAGCTTCCAGATGGAGGGCAGTTTACAAAGTGAGCGTTGTACAAAAGAGCACAGGTAACCCCGTTTTTGAGAAGGAAGTCTCCACCACGGAACTAATTTTCACCAATTTCAAGCAAGAGGATTACTCGATACTCATCGAGGCCTGCATTGTGCGAGGCGGGGTCACAAATTGCGGGAGACCAAATGCAGCTAACATCCAGGGCTTGGCCTTTGGTAAGTGAACAGCAACACTCGGTGGCAGGATTGAGCATTTTATGTAAGACACTCAATGGAGTACGCATAAGATAGAGGAGGGGAGCGGCACCTTATGGGTAGACCAGATGAGTCATCTATGTGATGTAAATCTAAAACTCAACGGAGGGGTGCAGTGGGTGGTAGGCGATCCGCAAACACCCTATATATGTTTCCTTAAGGATAAACCTTAAAGTGCTCCCAGAAATGTTAGAATGCTATGCTACACTGTCCTTGTGCTACCAAAACTAGAGTACGCGTGCATCACACAAAGCGTAATGTTCACACTCTCGAATGCGGCAGAAAGGCTGTACAATTTGTATTTAACAAGTTTTCCCTTTTAGACACCCCTTCAGATTTATTGCAAGAAAATGACAATTTCTTATTAAAGGCACTAAGGCAAAAAGCTTGATTAGAACTTCTTTATCAACTTTAGAACCAAGAACTAGCTCTAGATCCATCCCCGTATTTGACAGCCCTAGCTTCCAGGCCCTCCCGACATCACCACGCAAACACCATAAGCCCAATTTTGCTCGTACTGACCATTGAAATATTCATATTTTCCTAGAATAATTAGTGAATGAAATTATCTTACTAATACATGCGATCAGATTGCAAATGGACATTGTTTCACTTTTTTTGCTTCTGCGTGATTGATGCTTTTTTGTGTTGGTTTTACCGTCCCTCTGCATGATTGATGACTCCACAGTACTGAATAAATAAAAATAAGTAAAATATATACGTGCGTACAAAATATAACTTCACACGCATCTGTAGGTTGAATGTACAGGGTGTTTTGACGAAAACTTCCCTTAAGTGCGGGAAGTAATATTTTCGAATATAGCCTTCAATATTACTTTCGCCGTGATGGTAGGTATCTTTTGAAAAGTACAGGTGCCAACTACGGCAGTTGTTAAAAACATCAAGATATTTCACCTCCTATTTAGTGCAGACAATCGGGAGGGTCAAACAGACAACTTGTAACTCTTCCTTTGAAGCGTATGTTACCACTTTCAGATTTGTCTAAAGCTTCCACTCGCAATAATTTAGGAATAACGAAAATTAATCAATTATACCGGCGAAACCAAAACTGATAAGCGGCCGAGCGCAACTGCCGCGACTTCATTTTCATGAGCGTGGCTTCATTTTGACAATGATATAGTATGCGAGAAAGTAAGATAGTTTCTGCTCTTACTTGTCTGCATTGTTGAGGTTCAGCACTATCGTAAAATGCAATGTTGTAAGATATTCGAGAAAAGTCACTCAGTATCACTTTAATAACAACTTTCTGCTCACATTACAAATGTGTAAAAACTTCTAATGAGAAGTTCTACAACAATAAAGGCTAAAAAATTGTTCGATACGTAATTCTTGTTGTACACGCTCATTGGAGTGTACACCTCCCCAATACTTAGCTTGCAAAGAGTTCTTGGTGTGGTAATACTTTGTAGTTGTTCTGTAAAGTTTGGTCCACTAAATGCTTAGCAAGTAGCATTCATGATTGAGTGGTTGTTATTTTTGTGCTGTAAAGGAATATATTTGTGGTCGTAAGAAATAATGGCCTCTAATAAAATAAACGAAATTGCATATAGATTGATTGCATACCAGAAGGCTTCGGTAGATGCCTACATAAAGTTGTGTGTTTGTTTTTATCAAAAGTACGAATGTACCATTGTGTGGCCTATTGCACAGTTTTTACACATTCTTTCACCTTATTCATTCTAACAGTGCAAGACAAGAAACAAGTACTGATTCATACAGTGAACAGCACGGCAATTAAAGTGGTTCTGGACCAACACGCTCTATTGGAGCCCCATTTGGAAGGATTCAAGATCTCTTGGTTAGCATCGAAACCTAATCCGAACGACACGTCACCTGGAAAAAAGCGGGGTGGTCTTTTTGCCGCGTAATGCAACCAGCTTCATCATCGCCAATCTACAATCGTTCGAGGGTTACAATGTCGAAGTTGCAAAAGTCTTCACCGACGGAAGCTCGCAGTGGGAAGCAGTCACCGCTAGAAGCGAGACTGTCACCGACCCAAAGCCTTTCGCAAAGCCTACAGGAGTGGTCCTTGACTCAAGCTCCTCTGGCGCCACGTCCTCACTGGTGATCAAGTGGAACGCACCCACCACGCCTTCTGACACCCCCGTTGAGGGGTACATTGTGTCTATTTGTCCTCGTTACGAGACTCCGAAAAGAACAGCCGCCTGCCACACGTACAATACGTCTTCGTCTTCAATGCTCGTTGAAGCATCAGGGCTAAGAAGCTTCACTGAATATGCAGTCGAGATAACTGCTTACGTGACCATCAACGGGAGAGTGATCAAAGGAGACAACTACGTGACGGTCGCTATGACCTCTCCTCCACCGATACCGGCTATTGAGAATCCAGTAGTGTTGAATACGGTCGAAGGAACTTCGGTGAAGGTATCTTGGATACGCCCTGAGGCACTTAGAGAGTATGACGTGGTTTACGAAGTTGTGCTGACTGAAGACGCTTCAGGACGCGTCCTGTATAAAACGGAAACGAATGCTACAGAAACGACACTAGAGAGCCTTGATGTTTCTACGGAATACACTGTGACAATCATCGCATGCCTCGTGAGTGGGATTCAAAGAAAGTGTGGCAATTCCAGTACCACCTTATTCAAGACAGCTTCGAAAGGTGAGTAAATAAGATATCATTCGACGTATATCTCCGTTCAGTCTTCTATGGAATTTTGTATACAAAGCTTCTCGAGGTGTCGACAATGACTTATAAACGCGTTTTCGAAATGGTCAACCTATAGCTTTTTATTGGGTAGAAATACTGTCCGCACCTTTTCCAGCCTGCTTTTGATTATTGTTAATTGGTTCACTTCAGGTGCTTTTATTTTCTGTGGTTTTAATATAACGCAAGAAGGCTGTGTATTAGAGATAACTTTCATTAAATCCGGATTTAAACAGAGTAGTTACCAATACAGTATTAGTTGGGAAGTCTGACCATTCGCATGCTTGTGTACAACCGCACGACTGAAGTATGTCTGAGAATAGTTGAGTGAAAAGTCTTGTGCAGCAAAACTTGTTGCCACTTATAAGTTTTACGCGTCAGTAGATTGACTTGTTGCCACGAACTTTGTTCATTGTCTTTGTTAAGGCTACTAATAGAGATTATCATTGTTTGCAGATGTCTCCAAAGAACCTATTCACCTGCACATCAAAGCCGTCAACAGCTCTGCTCTTCTCGTCACCTGGCCCACGCCATTGACAAACGCCACGACAATCGAGGGATACGTAGTTACATGGTGGAAAGAGAACGAAACATTGCCGGACGGGGTTACCTATAGCAAGGATGTGCCGTCAGATAGAACAAGCTTCATCATTAACTGACTTAGACGCCAACACCTACTTACCACGTAAACGTCTCCAGAGTCTACAAGGAGAGCGGCATGGACAGAACGGACTCGGAAGAGATGCTCGCAAGCACGCAGCCGGACCCTTATTTGAAGCCTACCGGTTTACGCACGGAGTATAAGGCAAACAGCTCACAAGTGATCGTCACATGGGACGCATACGCAGTGCGTATTGAAGACTCGCCCTTGAGTGGATATATAGTTGACATGTGCGCTGTCGCAGGAAATAGCACAGATGTTGAATTTGAGTACTGCGATCAACGAAATGTGTCTGCTGGTTTCGCGGAAGCTGTCTTCACAGAAGTGGAAGGACTGACTGACTTCCGCATCGTTGTGCGAGCGGTGGTGAACAGAAGCGACAACAGCGCTGACCAAGGAGAGCCAGCGGTCATCTACATCCGTACTCCAGCCCCGCCTCTGCCTGATCTAAGACACACGCTTCGCGCTGACGTCACCGCTACCAGTGTGACAGTGTTTTGGCGTAGACCAGTGGGATTTGACGACTACGATGTTTTTTACCACGTTAGTGTGCAGAGTGCGCCATCGAAGCTTAAGACGGACAAGACGAGTAACCTGACAGAGCTGACGTTCGAAGGCTTGGAACCGGGTACAAACTATTCTGTGGATGTTGCTACGTGTCTCGTCAGGAGGCAGCGGCGACACTGTGGTGGCAATACCACTATGGAGTTCAAGACGCTCCCAATAGGTGAGTGTGGGCATCAAATCAGCCCTTTCATTAGAATAATTTTTCTAGTTTGACGCTGCATATTTTGTGGATCATGTACTTGGGAAAGCATTTGTACAATGAAAAACTGGTACACTGCTTAACCCGCGAGCGTTTCTCTTATCTATTATTGCTTAACTGCCGTTACACTGCGATATGATGGACATGGAAATAGGAACACTAAAAAACGGCCTCACATAGCAGGCACATTTGCTTAATGAAAAAAAAAACATACATTCAATTGATATTAAAATTGGCACATATTTCCAGACCACGAATAAAGCTGGTGACAAGCATGTGATAGTAAAAAAACCGACATCAAGCCAGCTGCTTATATGCGCAAAGTGAGTAAACAGCGGAACTGCTAAGCAAGCACCACAACTTTGCGAATGCAAACAGTTCTTCCACCCTTCTTGATCTTTTTTAATCTTTTTATTTTTCTACATTTTGTGGCATTTTCTCCTGCCATGCTCATATCTTGCCTTATTTTCTCTGTACATTGCCCACTATTCTTTTCTTTTCTCCCCCGAACCCTCACAATACTTTCTTTTACCCTAATGTGTCTGTACCACCAGTTACGACGGCATGCTGTACATAGTCACCCTCTCACATTTTTTCCTTCTTTTTTTACTGTCATATCACTACACCTCACCAGCGTCTCTCCGAATTTTGAATTAGATTACGCCATCCTCCATGGCTACGCTATCTTAGGAGCTGCTTGGCCCGCTCTTTGCTGGTCAAGCGAGCAGGTGCAACGTAAACGCCTATACAGCTCAGCTGCTTGCGGGGAAAACCAAGCATATTCCTGCCGTAAGAATTCTTGCTGTGCTCGCTAGCGCTTCTTTTCTTTTACAACACATCGAAGTTTCGTCATGGTTTACGATACTTCAAGAGCAGCGGCTTTCACTCCATGCGACGTTGTATTGAAATGCTGTGTTTATGCAGTCGTTCAGATCGAGTCACGGCGCACTTGCTCTCAGCATTCACGCCGTAATTTATGAACTGTGTATAGATGGCAACATTTAGTGAGAAGAGAAAAAAGTATTGCGAGTGTACTGAACACGCGTGACTTCTTGGTTTCAGAAAGTGGGTAAGTTAGCTTAATCAGAAGTTTAATATCTGTCTTTGGGAACGTTATCAAACAAAATTCGTTATAAGTTTCCAAGACATAATCAGAGGATATAAACTTCCTCGCAAATACAATATGGCGTTACGAAGCTCTCATAACACAATCACGTGAAAGAAATCGCAATCTACATGTATTATAAAAGCATTCACTACCTCACGTGATTTTTTTTCAATATGTTAGAACTTCATTGTGCCCACAGCAAACCCTGGTTTCTAGCAAATTATATAGGCATGTACAACGCTTTTCTCCTTGCTCCTTAAAACACACGGGAAAACATCTTTAAAATGCATGATTCAGCTCCCAATGTAATTTATCTTCATTCCTAAACTTGTGTAACGTTTGGTTCGCTACCCTAAGTAATTTTAGAGCGCGCGGCGAATTGCCTAGCTTATAGGGACACCATCACTGTAAAATGGAACCCTGCGAAAGACCACTGAATTTGAGACTTTTTCTAACTATGCCAGACGCTAAACACACGTGTTGCGCTCTCCCACAGGAGAAAGAGGAGGTAGCTTGAGCAAGGCGTCGGGCATGTACCGACTAAATATGTTCAAATATATGGACAACTGCTGCTCAACTATTAGCCGCAAGCCGACACCCTAACCAGTGCCCCAAAAGCCTATATGCCACAACCGGCTGAATAGAACACCTTTATAGATTTCTTGAGGGCGGGCAATCGTGGTCACGCACTTGACTCATTTTCCACAACTTCCATGGATTCGTGGGCTCATTGATATTTGCCGGGTCACCGTTCTAAACCAATGTGAGTTTGCATAAGTACTTTGAAGTTCACTTCGTAAACGACGAGCATGCTAGTTTGTCTGGCTTATTCTCATTTAATTCAAGGACGTTTGTCTCTAATACGACAAAATTTAATACACACTCAGTGCGACTGCCACAGAGCAATGACTTCTGTAACAATTTTCCCATCCGGCTTTTTCCCCACCACCTAGTTACAACAGACAGCACTGACTCATCACCTGAAGTCACCGTGAAAGCCCTTAATGACAGTGCCCTTGAGGCTACGTGGCCACGACATCGCTCCGATTCGAAGAATCCGGAAGAATACAGCATCTCTTGGAGACCAAAGCGCAGCAACCTTCCCAGTGAAGTCGCAACAAGGACCATCTCATTCTCACCAGGTTACCACAAACATGAATTTGTGATCACAGATCTTGAGCCCTACACTGCATACATCGTTTCTGTGACTTCCTGGAGGGAAGAATACAAGGACCGCTTCGTACTCGCACTTACCACTGGTCAGGGGACCACAAGCCCACTGCCCAGTGACCCGCCTGAAAACCTGACACTCGACGTTCTCACGGAAGGCAGTTCTGTGAAGAGCTTGGTGACGTGGAATCCCCCAAGAAACACCGGTGGTGCACCAGTGTCAGGATATTTAGTTGATCTGTGCCCCTTGAGAGACGCTGCCACCATCGCAGCGTTTGGTGGGAAGCCTGATTGCCAAAGCCGGAAAACGACACCGGACATTGTAAAGGCTATCTTCTCACAGTCTGCGTCAACAGGAAGAGACTACGTGGTGGAAGTGAGAGCATTTGTTGAGCACGATTGCCACACAATCGAAGGACAGGTCGCAATAGCAATGTCGCGAGTGAAGTGAAGTGTTTTGTTTTTATTGCATGTTAGCCACACAACACAAATATAGAAGACTGTCAGGGTGTCACATTAGACGAAATATTGTTTCAAGGTATGTCAGCACACCTTGTTAACGCAATAGAACAAAGAATTTGTAATAAAATCGTACACGACACTATTTACCGTCGAGCGTATGATATGAAGTTTCTTGTAAAATGAATATCACAATGAACTTAGCTCAATAAACTTGTTTCATAGCCTCACAAAAACAAGAAGCAGAAGACCTACATAGAACTTAACTGCGGCAAAATAATAAGGGGTAGACCTGCCTAAGCTATATAGAGTATTATTGCGGTGCTTAAGATTACTGTAGAAAGAGCTGATGTTACGTAAGATTTCCCGCATGATGTCGCTTTCGAATCATGTTGTCAATCTAATCTAACAAGAAAATCATAGCCTTACATGAGTGAACATCGGCTACTTACATCGGAGTAAGCAGCCTAACGAAGGAGAGACGGGTTTATATTTTTCTAGCTAATCATCACCAGCACATCTAAGTATTTCGCTCTAATTACACTACATGTTTCTGAAAGTAAATAACTAGTGCATGTAGAGCCTGCGCCTCAAAACAAACGATTCTTGTGCAGCTGTTACGTATAAGACTGTCTCTGTCCTACGTAGGGTGTGGTCCTTTATGTACTGAACACATAAACTAATGGCCTGCGGTGCAAGCGAAAGCGAGAGCAACTGCGTGCTCACGCGGCAAGAAAAGCAAGCTCTGTAGCTTTCGGCGTTATCTTATGACGAGAGGAACAATCAGACACGGTTCATAGGTAGGTGTCCGCAAGATTAGAGCGCCCCTTTGCAGGTGGTGGCGGAAAAAACTTGGCCTATCGTCCTCGGTCTGCTGCTTCCAATTTTGCTCGTCGCGAGTGCACTTCAAAAAATACAAAAGTTCTGCCACTTCGCTTGTAAGCGTTACACATCACCTTATTTGCAATGTGTAATCTAGCAAGCAAGCAAGCACGCTTCTTCAATTCTGCCGTTATCAGCCATGCCTCGTAAGTTCTCTCGCCAGCAAGTGATGCCGTAACCCCGGATGTTCCGTTCCGCTGCCAAATGATGAGACTGCAGGCAGCCACCGAAGAGCATTGGCCACGCGCTCACACGTTCCATTTCATGAAAAACTCCACTGTACTGCATCCGCTGTTTTAGGCATGCAGGAAAGCCGAATTGTTTTTCTGCTTGTTTTTATGCGCTCCCAACATCATGTATTGAAGCACCACAACAATGAACAAATGTTGCAATGCCCAGTGCCAGTATTTTTATGTCATTTCTTGATATTATTCACCTTCACAAACTGTACGGTCAACGCGAAAACGCTGTCTTAACTTGCTCTGCGGCGCACCACCTTGCGGCCATTGCGGGTACTGACGTCGCGTGTAGAAGAGCATGCACGGTGTTACAGACATGCAGGCCTGCTCTGCAAGGGCGACCACAGCGGAAGGTGTGCTTGTTTAGCCGAAAATCTATGCTCCCTAGGTTCGCTTTCGTCTGCCAACCCGCAGGTCGCGGGATCGAATCCTAGCTGCGGCGGCTGCATTTTCGATGGAGGCGAGAATGCTGCAGGCCCGCGTGCTCAGATTTGAGTTGTGGGAATTAAGGCGTCCGCGCCAGTGCTTGACGCCATTTTTCCTTGGAGAATTCTCGCATCGCTTCTCCTCCCGACGGGATGGATGGTAGCCGGTCATAAATCACCCAACCCCCACTGCCATCCCCGCCGCTCAAAGTTTAACAAAGTGTCCAATTGGCCTAATTTTGGCGGGATGTGGACCCGGCTCGCGCTTGCCCGACAAGCGGGGGCGCGATACGGGGTTCGGGATACCACTTCGGGACTTCGGAGGGTGCGTATGCGTTTTGGCCTCTCCGGCCGGCGGCGATCCTTCGTTTTTCGTCGGCGCTGGCCGGTGGTTATACGTCGTTTCGTCGGGGCCCCGGTCCCCAGAGATGCGCGCTCCTTTCGGTGGTCTCGGAAGTCTCGAGGCAGCGCCTTGCGATGAGGCACCGTATGATACCCTCAACTGTTGCTATTGTTATGGCGTTTATTAACCGGCACACAGCGAGTCTACACAATGGCGACAGTAACAGCCAAGAACGGACTCTCCACGCGAGCGGCGTTCTTTTTGGGCAGACCCACTAGAAAGCACTTGAGAGTTCGACCCATTTCAGTGTTCGGCGGCTTTTCTACAATTACCCCGGGGTCGAAGAGGGAGCCGCCCGGCGACCTAACAGCTTGTCACTACGATCGGGTCATTATAAGCCTTCAGGCGCTCCACGTTGACTATGTCGCGCCGGCGGCGGCGCATGTCCGAAGATTGTTCAATTGGCTCGATAAGATAGTTGACCGGAGATGTGCGCTCGATCACACGGTAGGGACCTTCATATTTCGGGAGTAGTTTGGAAGAAAGGCCAGCTACAGAGGTCGGGATTGAGAGCCATACAAGGGAACCAGGAAGGAATGTGGGCTCAGAAGTGGCGGAACCATCACGAATACTCTTCTGCCGCTCTTGCTCATGCGTCGTAAAATCTTCGCAAGCTCGCGACATTCTTCAGCGAGCCTGGTGGTCTCGGAAATAGGTGTACACTCAGATGGATCCGGCGTGTACGGGAGTATCATGTCGATGGTGTGGGACGGGTGCCTTCCGTACAGCAAAAAGAAAGGTGAAAAACTAGTCGTGCTCTGAGGGGCGGTGTTGTAGGCGTAGGTGACGAAGGGCCGTATGGTATCCCAATTCGTGTGGTTGGCGGCGACTTACATCGACAGCATGTCACCGAGGGTGTGGTTAAAGCGTTCGGTCAGGCCATTAGTCTGCGGGTGGTAAGCAGTTTTGCGATGGACAGAATGGCTCTCAGTGAGAATGGCGTCAACGACTTCTGACAAGAAGACACGGCCTTGATCGCTGAGAAGCTTTTGGGGTGGACCGTGGCGCAGTATGAATCGATGTAGTAGGAAGGAAGCAACATCACACGCAGTAGCAGCAGGGATAGCGGCGGTTTCGGCGTATAGCGTTAAATGATCTACGGCGACGATGGCCCAGCGGTTGCCAGTGGACGTCCGAGGGAGTGGTCCATACAAATCGATACCTATGCGCCCAAACGGACGGTCACGGCAAGGTAACGATTGCAGACCGGCTGGTGACATGTGTGCGGAGGGTTTGCGGCGTTGGCAAGCGAGACAGGAGCGAACGAACTGCTGGACGTAGCGGTACATCCCGCGCCAGAAGTAGCGTTGTCTAATGCGATGGTAGGTTTTAATACCCCAGAGTGCGCGCACTGTGGATCGGAATGGAAGGATTCCCGTATCTGCGACCGCAGACTGCGGGGTATCACGAGTGGCCACTGCCGGCCATCGGCGTCGTAATTGCGCCGGTGTAGGAGGCCGTCACGAATGGCGAAATGGTGAGCTCGACGACGCAAGGCATGCGTGATGGCGTTGCGGACGAATCAGAGAGAAAGTCGATCAGTTGGGCAATCTAATTATCCTTTCGCTGTTCGGTAGCGATGATGTCAACATCAATGGCAGAAACAGCAACCGAGGATACTGAGCAGAGCACGTCAGCTCCAGGCAGAGGGGAGCGTGAGAGGGCGTCGGCGTCAGCATGCTGGCGTCCGTTGCGGTACAGCACGCGGTTGTCGTAGTCTTGTAAGCGAAGAGCCCAACGGGCGAGGCGGCCTGAGGGATCCTTCAATGATGACAGCCAGCATAGTGCATGATGGTCGGTGACGACATCGAATGGGCGACCATACAAATAAGGTCGAAACTTTGTAAGAGCCCAGACGATTGCCAGGCACTCTTTTTCCGTGACAGTGTAGTTTGTCTCGGCTCTCGTTAGCGTACGGCTTGCATATGCCACAACATAATCAGGGAATCCGGGTTTGCGCTGCGCCAGGACAGCGCCGAGGCCTACGCCACTGGCGCCCGTGTGCACCTCCGTTGGGGCCGTAGGGTCGTAGTGGCGGAGAATGGGAGGAGACGTCAACAAATGGCGGAGCTTCAAGAACGCGTTGTCGCACTCTGACGACCACGAATTTAGGGGCCCGTTACTTCCAAGGAGCTTCGTCAGCGGTGATATAATCGTGGCGAAGTTTCGTATGAAGCGTCGGAAGTATGAACACAGACCCACGAAACTACGCAGTTCTTTGACGGACGCAGGTTTTGGGAATTCGGCCACGGCCCGAAGCTTGGCTGGGTCAGGAAGAATGCCATCCTTGGAGACGACGTACCCTAGGATGGTGAGTTGGCGTGCTGCAAAGCGGCACTTCTTCAGATTTAGTTGGAAGCCGGCATTGCTCACACGTGCGAAAACTTCTTTTAGACGTTGGAGATGGGTGGAGAAATCTGGAGCGAAGACAACAACGTCATCGAGGTAACACAAGCACGTGTGCCATTTCAAGTTGCGCAGAACGGTGTCCATCATGCCCTCAAATGTCGCAGGTGCATTACACAGACCAAACGGCATGATGTTGAATTCGTACAAGCCGTCGGGTGTGATGAAGGCAGTCTTCGGTCGAGCGCCATCAGCCAGGGGTACTTGCCAGTACCCCGAGCGCAGATCGAGAGAAGAAAAAAATTGGGCTCCGTGAAGGCTGTCAATTGCGTCGTCAATGCGCGGCAGTGGGTAGACATCTTTGCGAGTGATCTTATTGAGCCGTCTGTAGTCCACACAGAACCGCACAGAACCATCTTTCTTCGCAACAAGAACAACAGGAGACGCCCATGGACGGTCCGAGGGCCGAATGACGTCGCGTCGGAGCATATCGTCAACCTGTTTGTTAATTTCCCGGCATTCAGCAGGCGACACGCGGTATGAACGTTGCCGTAATGGTGGATGGGCACCAGTGTCGATACAATGCGTAACAGTGGACGCGCGACCGAGAGAACTTCGCCCGACATCGAAAGAAGAACGGTATTCTTGCAACAGGTCTAGAAGCTGGGAACACTGTACTGACGTTAGACCGTCATCAATGTATGAGCCAAATACATCAGGAGATGATGGGTCAGAAGTACACACAGCACTGATGGTACGCGAATCGGGACAACGCGAGTCTTCAGGTGCGCCCAGGACTTGTGCGTCGTCGACTGGTTCCACTCTGCCGAGACATTCCCCTCGAAACAAGGTAACAGTGTACGGGG